ACACACACACACACACACACACACACACACACAAAGACGAGAGCCTGGGAGAGTGCAGCAACTGCCAACATTCTCAGGCTGAAATCTGATGGCATGAAACCAAGCAAGTCAGATTTACAGCTTCTCTCACTCGAAATGATGGGAGGACCACTTGTTCACTTTTCTTACACAGCTATTACTCGTAGCAGTGTCTCATAACAGTACAAATCATTTTAAAGATGCTTGATGATCTGCCATCACAGTAGTCTATAAAATAAACACAATCTTACACCAAACAACAAACATGAGCCATGTTTTGACCAAAAGTACCTGGAACTTTTCTTTCAGGGAACTTAGGTTCCAAGGAAATACTTTTACCCCATAAAGAGTCCCTGCTCAGGAGTTTACCCAGAGTTTGCCTTTCACACATGCACAATTCAGCGGGAGGTTTTCTGCACAGACGCATTCACAACAGCAACAAATCATCCGCATTATTAAGTCGAGAGGAAGTGCAGCCGGGTCCAAGAGACAGAGACAGGAAGTGATATATTAGCGCTGCTACGTAGATCACGTGCTTCCGTTTACCGCACCCAGACACCATGGTCAGCTCTTAGAAGACTCAGACTGTGTGTGTCACTGCTTTTTAAACATAATATATTTATTTTCTTTTTTCATTTTTGCCTCTGTCGTGTGTTAGAAGCGCCATCAACCCCTCGCCCGGTGAATCCAGCGGGGACCCTCTGCTTTGTTCACGCTTTGTTTTCCTGGATTTCTATTTACTTAATACTAGGCGGCCAGGTGGATAAATACATTTGCATTCACACATGCACCTCCTCCAGAGAAAATATGGAGGAACCACCCAGCCCAGTGCAAGTCTGAAAGCAGCTCATGTTTACTATTCTACTGCTGTTCTATTTATTTTGCACTATCATTGTAGTATAGTCTCCTTCATTATCACTATCTGGTGGACTTGGGTAGAACCACTTGTTGTAGCAAGCAAATTTTTCTAGCCTCATCTCTAGAAATACAGGCAAACAATGGTCTGCTGGAACTTTTAGAACTTTTAGATCCTTGAAAAAAGTTCCTTGGACCATTGATGGTTGTCAGTTAAAGCTGTTTTAGCTGGGGTGTCCCAAAGCACTGGCAGAGGTTTGCTTGTAATGTTTGGTGAAGCCCAAAGGATTCCTTAGCGCCTGATTGCTGTAATTAAGCAATGTAAATCTTTGTGAATCATAATTTTGGACTATGGTGACGTGCATCTTTTGTTTATCATTGTCTCTAGTATCCATTATGAAAACCCATTGCACTCCAGACTTGGAGTTAGTGGAGACCAAACCAGAGCTACAAGAAGAGGGAATATTCAATCAGAGAAACGAATGATAATCCGGCTCTGTGTCAGTTGGATGTGTTTCTAAAGGGCTTTATCAACTTCTCTAATACTGCTCTTATATTACATTTAACACTGGTAAAAATGTGTTTCTATTTCACATTTCCAACCTAATATGTTATTTGTTGTACATAGATGTACAAAGATTAACTTCTCTTTCACTTGCGTAAGAGGTTCGGTTTGTGCACCACTGTCCATTCTGAGGAATTGAATTCCCTTTAGGCCTGGCAGCAGGTGCTCATGACGTGGTTTTAATCAAGCGTTCTTGGACCGTTCTTTGCTGGAGCAAATTAAATCAATGGAATGCAGTGTCGATTGACAAGAACTTTACCAGTCCTTTTCCATATGCCCTTATACACCCCCTGAACTGACAGAAAAACACCAATAAAAGCAGCAATGGTTTGTTGGCAGATAATCAAAGGAATCTCCCAATGCAACAGAACGAGTCTGAAAACCAATGAGTCTTATAGGCCATTTGTAAGACTCTCTGTTTGTCAGTATGAAAGGTGAACAAGTGCTGGCTGGCAGACTGACGGACTCTTTCTCAAGAGCTGGGCTCATCAAACACTGCATGCAGAAGAAAACCGCTTCAGTGCAGCAAGGACTTCCAATCGTTTACCGTCAAGACCGGAGAGTCAGCTAATTCTATTCCAACAAGCGTCACTAGCAATTTATTCCACCGATTCCTTTTCTTTGTTTGAAGGTTCGTCAGTTAGTAGAATTGACATCTGTGGTGTTTGGTTTAAATGAAATCCTACAGACATTTGTTGGCTGCAAAGAACCTTTTCAGAAAATGGTGTCTGATAGATCATTATAGTCCAAACAGATTACAGTTCACTTTTATTTAATTTTTTTTATAGAAATTATCTTTCTTATCAGTAATTTAATTTGTCTCCAAAAGTTACCTGCAGAAATGAAATATAACTCGAACATAATCCACTTTTTAAGTCATTTGGAATGTGGTGGCAGTATAATAGATCGTACAGGCTCAATACATTAAATGCTGAAGGAATGCAAAACAAAATAACAGATATTTAGTTTAATTGATATTCAGTTGATGTTTTTATGCCCCATATTGACCCAAATTAGACTTAATTTTGATATTGGTATGATATGAATATATCGTCATATCCCTAAGTAATATCAATCCTTCACATGCTTGGATTTGATAACTTTATTTAAAGTTATATAACATGTACCAGAGCAGAAGCATCAAAAAAGGTTTACTTGGATTCATTAATTTAATCAATATTCTTTGAGCTGATTACTACGGGGGCTTTTAAAAGAACCACTCATTTTCTGGGTGTAACCAGGTACAAATTAGAGCTCAAATTGTGCTGGTGATTACAACGTGTGCCTGACACCCACCCCCTAATCACCCACCCACACATTCAAGACCTTAACCACAACCTCTGAAGGGTGTTTTGAGGCCATCACACTTATAAAAGCCCATTTTCCTTCCTTCTCAGCCTTTTTCATCTTTATAACTCTCTTTTCTTTCCTCAGCACTTTCTTTCTTTTGAGATGTCTGTCCATTTTCTCCTCTACTTTATATTCATATGTCATTTCATGCCCTTTTCTATCCCTGGTTTGTCTTTCTTTGGCTGGCAAAATGATGATGTCAACTAATAAGAGTACAATAAGTTCTATCCAATGACACTCCTCACCCCTCACTCCCCCGCCCCCCGCACTTCAAAAGCAGGAATGAGGTTTGAACTCTGCCTGTTTGCTGCTTCCAGAGAAAAGCATCTTTCACGTCTTTGTCTCTAAAGGACATGAGGGGGGAGAGAGAGAGAGAGAGAGAGAGAGAGAGAGCATCACCTGCTCCCAATTGAAACAGGGTGAGGAAGAACTTTTCTGCACTTCAAAGAACTAAAACACAAAAAACTTTGCACCACTCTTCTTCAAAAACCTCTATTCATGAGCCGACTATTGGGAATGGGCTTGTGTGTGT